GTGTCCCTCACAGTGGTTAAAAAAAGAATAATAAACTAATGAGAACAGCTGCTCTGTGTGTGTGTGTGTGTGTATGTGTGTGTGTGTGTGTGAGAGAGAGAGAGATTCAGTGTAGTACCTCCTTCTGTACCTCACCATGATGTTTCCATCTTTTCCCTTTTGCTGCAGATCCAGTATCTCCAGGTAATGTGAGTGTGAAATGTGGCCAGAGCCCTCAGCAGCTCATTGTCTCCTGGATGGAATCAGGGCACGGGCGAGAGTACTGGATACAGCTGTACTCAGATGAATCCCTCTCTGTTATTCGCAACATGTCAGTTCCACATGGAATGACTCAGGTAACTTTAGATGGCCTCATACCAGGAACCCGGTACCGTGCTGAGATTGTCTCCAGAGCTGGACCTCATCGCATTTCCTCACAAACAGCCATTGGCTACACAGGTACAATATATTTATTTATTTAGAATATTTGTACTCCGTCTTTCTCCTTAAAAATGACTCAAGGTGGCTTACATCATTAAAAGACAATATTTAAAGTTAACAACAGTGATTGTACAAATACATAAAGGGTCAAATAGATAACATACTAAAAACATAAGCAACACTAAAACACATCCAAAGCAGTAAAGTACAATAATCCATTTAAAACACCGCTCAGATAGCAAGTCGCTTGTGAGAGCTTGCCTGAAGGTAAAGGTCTTCAATTGCTTGCAGAAGAACAGGAAAGATGGGGCCATTCTATCCTCCTGGGGGAGGGAGTTCCAACAGAGCAGCAACAGAGGAGGTTGTCTCCCATGTCCTCACCAAACCATGTGTGAAGATGATGGGACCAAGAGAAAGGTCTCCCGTGATAATCTTAACACTTTGGCAGGCTCATAAAGGGAGATGCGGTCCTTGAGATAGGTTGGGCGTTATAGGTTAGAACTAGTCCTTTGAATTAATCCTGGAAATGGATTGGCAGCCCATCTCTAGACCATACACAATTTCTTTAGTTCATCCATTCTGTCTGAAATAGTTCAGAAAGGCTGTACTGTAGTTGTCTCTACAGTGTGAATGGACTAGGGCTGGTAGAATGACTTCTGAGGCTGCACAGCACGCATCAGTGGAAGAGGGCTGCTGTTTAGGAAAGCTCGTGTTAAGTAAGCATAGATAGTCTCTAAGTTGCCAGAATACTCATTCCTGCTTTAGAACCCATATGTTGTTTTTATAAGTCTGTGGGGAGCAGAGGGCTATTGGCACAGAGAGGGCAAGATTGTAGATAATAAATGCTACTAATTCCTCCGTCAATTTAAATCTGTCAATATTAGTGATGACATTGATGAGGCTGGAACAGCAGCAGGAACTAGATGATCTGTAGGGTTTTTTTTTATTTTGGTTCCCTTTCCTTTTACACGTTTTATTACCCAAGAAACCATCCAATAGGATGCAGTAGTTTTGGGTCCCTCATGGGAGCAGAGACTAGATGCTCATCTGTTAGGCTTTCTGTAGTTACATCTGGCAGTATGGATCCTACCTTGAGCAGGGCTTTGGGTTGGACTAGATGGCTCTCAAAGTCCCTTCCAACTCTACAGTTCCATGATTCTTGGCCCTTTTTCTCATTGGTGTCCAGTCTTCTACCTAAGATTTCTCAGTTGCTGTGATTGAATGCATTTAATTTGCTTACATTACTCCTGCCTCAGCACTTGATGTTGTTTATAATTTAAAGTAATGATTTACAATCTAAACAACCATGATGCAAAATGAGAAGGATAGAGAAATATTTTTTAAAAATGGGTGCCAAATCTTTCATAGGCCGTATTTGCACATGATATTAAACTGCAGGAGTAGAAAGGAGCGGGCACGAAGCGCTGAGCTTGTATGTTCTGCCTTTCCATCTGTTCCCCCCATGCAGCTGGGTATAAGAATGAATGAGAATTCCATATTGTAATAACAAGCTAGGAATCTGCTGTGATACTGAATCATAGTTTATACCTCCATTATGAAAGTGCAGGAGGAGAATATGGCAGGGCCGGAGCCCAAGACCTCGTTCTGGCTTCTTCCTGCTCTTTCATTAAGCTTTAAACCATAAAATGAAAGTCACATTATATAAAGAAGTGACATGATCACCACACTGATCAGCCACTGCAGTGACATACACTTCCAGAAGGGAATATTTTGTAAAGATAGACGGGCAGATAGACAAAGGGGAGGAGCGACATGGCCATTGGTTCCAGCCAAGCCAAGATATTTAGTTTCATTCCATACTGCTGCTATTTCTTTATTATTGACTTCCTACAGTGGTGCTTGACATCTCACTTGTTTCTCTTTCATGGTAGCACCTTTTAACTAAATGACTAGTTCATATACCCATGACTGCAGTTGTTGTACGGCTTGTTATAAATTGTAAAAGACGTAAGTAATTTTTTAAAACGTAGTAGCCAAGGCTAACAAAACACAGGAATCATGGGACAATTGGCTTCTGAGCCATGATGATGTTCTTGTCAGTAGGTCTTTCCTGAAATCCCTTATTATCTTTCTTTAGTGCCTTTGATGCCACTTTCCGTTCTGGTGAACAGCCACGGTACCACAATGTTGACGGCACAGTGGAAGGCCCCACCTGGACAGAGAGACAGCTACATGGTCTCTGTATCAGAAGAGGGAACCCCAGACACCAGAAATTATGTGGCGGTGGAGAAAACCAGTACCAATGTCACTTTAACAGGACTAACACCAGGCACATGTTACCATGTTACAGTGTGGTCATTGGCTGGACCGTACAGCTCTGTTTCACAGAATGGTACAGCCTGTACCGGTGAGTGTGGGGCTAGCTCCAGAGTAGTAGGGAGGGATAGGAGAAAAAAAATGTTGTATCTTAGATAAAAGAATACCTAAGTCTGTGGGAAAGATTCATGAGGTCGTTCAGCTGGTGCCAGTGGACAGTGCTGTGGGGTTATCATATCAGAATAGTGATGTAAAAGGCTCAGACAGATTTTTATGGAGATGTGGCTCTTCCACTGGAATAACTGTGCTGAATGCCTTGCAGCATGAGTCACATCCTAGATCTGCAGATAACTGATCTGTTTGTACTGTGTAGTTTCATGCTTGGCACACAGTCATGTGTTGCACGATCTGGTCTCCTCTCTAGAAGTAGCTCACGGTGATGCTGTGAAAGTTACAAAAGACCCTATGTGATCTCTCATCTTTTCTGTCAGCCCCTGCTGCTCCTGTGAACGTGACTCTGAAAAATAGTGGCAACTCATCTTTGCTTTATACAACCTGGGCAGAGCCTCCAGGAGGCAGGGACCACTACCGGATGGTCCTATACAGCGTCGTGCCTCCAGGAATGGAGAGGGTTCATGTTGTGAAGCCGGGCACCCAGGACTTCCTCTGGAGAGAGCTGCCGGCAGGAAGCCAGTTTGCTGTACAGGTTATTGCAGTGAAAGGCCAAGCTGAGGCTTCTTCCACCATTGCTGTCGAGTGGACATGTAAGTCTGATTGTTTAGCTCCTAAAGTCTCTGGGCTTAAGGTCTAGAGATCTACCTGTTACACAGCCTGTGCGAGTAGTTTTAAGCCCACACTTCCTGTTCTTCACAGGGCTGTCTCCAATTTTTCATCCTGGTCCTCCTCCACCACCCTATACTTCCCTGCATCTGGTTTCTTGCTCATCTTCATTTTCTTCCTCCGACTGAAGACCACAGAATAAAACATAAACATATCCCCCCCCCCCCATACATTGCTAGGCTTGGCTGTACCTAGATAATCTCATTTCATTTTGGGGAAAGATACGTGTGGGTTGCCTGGGAGAATGAAAGGGACCTGATCTTATGCATCGAAGGATATGCTCACATTGATGCAGATAGGTGGAGGCATGAGGATGCATAAATATTTCAATTTTTTTAATGCACACATCCTCAAACATGGGCTCACTTAGGGTACAATGAGACAGCACTTTATGTCACATTTTGGACCACTTTGGGGATGGGCTGATTTGCTCCATTTTCCAGTGACCACATGATATACAGGCAATCACAAACCATACCTTTTTGGGTCCCTAATGGGATCTAGTGATTTATTTATTTTATTTTTTGCATGGATAGGATTGCGATCTGATTTCAGCACATATGATTGCTGGTATTGAACCCAAGCACCATTGATAGTGCCATGTCAGCATTCAATGCCATGTCAGCTGGCTGGCAAGCCAATGAAGTGATAATGCATTTTTAAAAAAATTCTCACTTTCCCCTGCTTCTCATAGAGGGGGTGACATGAGACGCCACTCCTCTCTTTTTAAAATTATTTCTTATTTTACAATCCAGTGCTGTTTCACTTTGGTGACAGACCAATAGAGTGATATGTCACTTATCAAAAGAACAGCAACAACAGTGTTCCACCATTCCTGACAGGAGATGGAAGAAGAAGTGGAGGGGGGGGGTGTCACTTTTTTCTTACTATTTTAATAGTGTTTCACTTCAGTAGCAAACCAATGCAGTACTTATTAAAAAAGGGGGGGGGTTTCCAGCTTTCTTCTGCTCCCTGCGGAGGGGGAGACTGGAAAGATGCATGGGGGGGGGGACAGCATGGAGGTTGAGAGGGAGGAATAAGCTAATTAGGATCCCTTTGAGGCACAGTATGGCTTCCTGTCCAAAAACCACCCAATCTTTGTGTGTAAATACAAGGATCATTCCATATCTCAGGCCTCACTTTCAAGCAGTCCTGTTTAGACTCATCCAGCCCAGGATACCGTCACTCTCTTGTCTTACACTTACACGTCAACATAGCACACCCATCCTTATACAGATAATCCCTGAGCCTATGCCCAACTATATGCACAGATGTTTAGCCATAAGGACCAAGGTAGATGCAAGAATAATGTGCTAGACTTTCTGATCAGTGCAGTGTAGGAGGGCAGATTGCCTTGAGCCCTTCAGTTTTTAGATTGCTTCCACCTCAAATGGAGGGAAAATGGCACTGAGATTGCAACATGGAGTTTGTAGGCTGTATCTGGCCCTCAGGGGTGTTTTTGCAGCCCCCAAAGCTATACCAGATGCATCTTTTGCATCTGGGGCCTTGAGCGAGGCTTCCTAAGGCCACCACACCCCAAAAGAAAAACAGGACCAATCTGTGTGATGCAACCTCTGATGGAGACTAGAAGGGGCAAGGGATGTGGTGGCACTGTGGGCTAAACCGCAGAAGCCTGTGCTGCAGGGTCAAAAGACCAGCAGTCGTAAGATCGAATCCACACAATGGAGTGAGCTTTGTCCCAGCTCCTCGCCAACCTAGCAGTTCGAAAGCATGTAAATGCAAGTAGATAAATAGGTACCATCTCGGTGGGAAGGTAAAAAGGTGTTCCCTAGTCACACTGGCCACATAACAATGAAAAACTGTCTTCGGACAAGCGCTGTCTCTACGGCTTGAAAAACAGGATGAGCACCGCCCCCTAAAGTCGGACATGACTGGACTGAAAATGTCAAGGGGAACCTTTACCTTTACCTTTTTAGCTAGAGGGGCCAGTGTTCTGATTTGGCGTAGTCCAGATTCCTGTATTCCTGTGGGACATGGACTAGCCCGTGAGTTGGACCATCCTCTTCTTTCCCTCCTCAACACATGGAGATGTGCCTGCAGGATGTATATTGCAGACACTCTAATGTACAGTAGTTACAATTTTCTTGTGTAGTTCCTATAGTTCTGTAAGTATGCAGCCAGTTATGTCACTTATGTCTTCATTTTCAATGTTTGTCAGTTTTTTTTTTCATTTTATGATATACATTTGTACTGTTTTTGCAGCCCCTCTTCCTGCTACTTCTATACAAATTCAGAATGAGAAGTACCCCGACAAGTTGAGTATAGCCTGGGCGCAACCCACTGGGAGGCTGGAAGGCTATGAGTTGAACTTATACCAACCAGCATTGAACAGCACAATAGTCCAAACAACTCTGGGGAAAGATGCCAGCAATTTCACCTTCTCAGGTCTGACGCCAGGAGTCAAGTATGTGTATGAGATCATCTCAAAGGCTGGACCCTACAGGAGTTCAGCAGGAAACTTCAGTGCTTGGACATGTGAGTAGCACACGTTTGCACAGTAGAAGCTGGCACCTGCTGTTGCAGAAGGCAGTGAATCTGTTCTGGATCTTTAGTCCAAACCTTAAAGGAGCTGCTGCAGGTGCTGAACCTGTGTTAGGTATAGGGTCAGAGCATCTGTCATTTTCACTAGAAGTCCATTTTCTCTGTAGGGTACATAGTGAGCGGAGTTTTGTCATTGTAATCTGTTAAAAACAAGGCATTGCTGTCATAATTGAAAGAAAGTTATGTGCTGGCATTTCTGATTTTTAAAAAATGAGGCTTGCTGGCTGTTATCATATCCTTGGGAATGGGTAAATCCATCATTGTTGTTGCCCCCAACAAATCTGTAATAAAAGTTCCTGAATGCCAGAAATGAGCCCAAGTGTAGACCACAACTCCATTAAGTTAAAAAGCCAGATTTGGGATTTCATTTAAAATGGATGGAGATTATAGGGAAAAATTTGAGATGTGCCAGCAACCTGATGGCCACATTCCTAGAGAGTGGAGCTACAGGGGAAAGATGTGGCCAAATACGTTAATGTGCATACTTAATGTTTGTTATTAGTTTAAAAAAACATCTAATGCAAAGGAACGGTGAACCACTTCTGAGTACTCTATGCAGTACCTAGAAAACCCTGAAAAGTGTTAGTATATATCAGAATTGACTTGAATGTGTGTAATTATTATTATTTATGTTCTGTAAAAGTGGCTGTACAGGATTTGAAAAATGGATTTAACTTAAAAATGATAAAAAGAAGCAAGCTATTTAAGCCACATCCATTTTTTTATAGTCAGGTGGACAGATTCCAGGTTTCTGAGGCTCTTTTTCCTTTTTCACTGGGTAATGCACCGGGTTTGTTGCTTACCATGTCTATCAGCTGGAGAATTCAGCTTTTCCTCATCTTAAAATTCTTTAGTTGTGAGAACCAACATGGTGTAATGGCTAAAAAGTTGGACAACGTCTAGCGAAGCCTGGGTTCAAAGCCCAACTCAGCCATGATGCTCATTATATAACCTTGAACCAGTCATTGTCTCTCCAGCCAGTTTACCTCAGATAATTGACAAAAGGATAAATATGGGGGAGAGGACCATGTACACCACCTTAAGCTCCTTCAAAGAAATGTGGGGAAATGTGGGGTATAAACAAATAATTTAATATTACATAGTGATTTCAGTATTGAATAAATAAAGCTGGAAATGCACATGCTTTCCATTGTCCCTTCTTATGTTTCCTTCATCTTAGACCCTCTGCCTCCTCGCATGGTGCGTCTGTCAAACAAAGGGCACACTGACAAGCTGAGCACTGCCTGGCAACCCACTGGAGGAGACCAAGATGGCTATATGTTAACTCTGTATTATGCTGGATCAGGCACTGTGGTTGCCAAGAGATCGTTAGAAAAGAACGCCACCAATTTCACCTTCTCAGGCCTCATGCCAGGAACTAAATATTTGCTAGAAGTTGCTTCCATGGCAGGGCCCTATAGGGTACCAGCAGGGAACATCAGTGATTGGACATGTGAGTATGATTGTCTTCATTCCCTTTCATGGAGGTCCTCATACAGATTATTATCAGTGGTCTCTTTATAAGAGTAAGCAGAAATAGTCAGAAATAAGGAATCAGTCCATTCATTCAAATCAATGTTGGTTACAGGGTCTTCTCCTGGTAGATTTCCTGGAAACACATTTAATTTTAAGGAAAGTGGACAGTTTTTAAAATCAAAGTGCAAGTGTCATATGTAGAATGGTGTTAGCTTTATAAAAATTATTATTACCACTACTATGACTGCTACTACAACTACTATTACTGTACCTAGTTCTCAGCACTGCTGGTGCCTGGGGGTAGACCAGTCAAGTTCTAAACTTTTCCAGGTGAAATGACATATTTGCAAAATCAGTAATTTTTTTAAAAAATTAGGAAGCAAATTAGCAGCTATTGGCTATTATTATGCTTGCATAAATTTGCATTGGGTTTAACCTGAAAAACAGTTAAACGGAGGCCCAGATTCTCTTGTTAAACTCTTATGCTGGCGGGATAGCTCAGTGCAACCTAGTGTTGGTGTTCAATTTCCTACTGTGCCTTATAGAAGAAGAGTCAGGCTGTGTGGCCTTGGGCAAGCTACAGGATCCCATAGTGCCCTGAGAGAAAAAATGGAATGATTAAACATTTTCAAAGTACATTATACCTAGAAAATCCTGGAAAGAGTCACTATAGTCAGAATCAACTGGACAACATGTAATTCTTGCAAGGACAAGTTATAGATCAGTAACTCCTGGGGGGAGTTCAAGGAGAAAGGTGAGGTAAAAATATTCTGAATAAATGAGAGAGTGAGTGAGTGAGTGAGCGAGCGAGCGGAGCATCAGGGGACCGAAGTAAATATGACAGCTTTGCAACCAGAAGTACTGTAGTGCTGTTTTAAGACATAAAGAAAGTTTGATTATCCTCTAGTGAGGTTCACAGCTCTGCAAAGTACAAATTATCTTGCTTTTGTTTGTTGATTGGTTAGCAGGAGGTAAAGAACATGCTTCAGCTGCATGCTGATTATGCAAATGTAACTGCACTGGAGAATGCAAGGAGATCTATGAGTAGGATTTTAGAATCATAGAATAATTGAATTGGAAGGGGTCTATAAGGCCTTTGAGTCCAACACCCTGCTCAGAATCAAAGCAGATCTTTGATGATTGCCCAATTTTCTCTTGTATGTCTCCAGAATTGGAACATCTTGCATTTTCTAAAACTAGTACCAGCTAGGAAGGGAACATGCACAGGTCAGATTCACTGCACTGTGCATAAGAGTAGGAGAAGGTTTAACCCTTTGACCTGTACCATTTTCCTTAAAAAACAAACAAAAAACAGAGACCTTCTCCAGTTTCAAGCTGCTCTTTCTTCTATGAGGAAGCACATTGCAGGTCCCATATGTATATTTGGCACAGATGTATTGGAAAGAAGACATGGATCCAGGGTAAATTGCATAGTCTCCATTCATAAGGTTCCTTGTTCAGTCTCTAGCATTTTAATAGTGAGCTTTTGCTAACACGTAAAAAATGTGTAGAAGAAGCCACGCATACTGTAGGCTTTAGCTTATTTCAGTTCCTCTGGGCTCTTTTGTTTTATTCTTCACAGTCTGAAAATAACTCTACAATTTTAGCAATCGCTACTCTCCACCACCACCACTCCATTTTATTTTAATTCCCTAGACCCTTTGGTTCCTGGGAAACTTTCCATAAAGGCTGAAAAGGGAAACACAGCGGCATCTGTAACCTGGGCAAAGCCCCTCAGCAAACCAGAGCGCTGCCAGCTACAGCTGTGGTATCCAGGCAACGACACCATGCTACAGCACCATGTCTTGACCCCATGGCAGATCCGACATGTTTTCAAGGGATTGGTTCCAGGGAGAAATTATTCTGTCTCCCTCAGCTGCACTGCTGGACCCTACAAGAACAGTTCTGAGATGACAGAAGTGGCAATAGGTTGGTATGTGCTTGTTCTGAGGGAAAACAGCATGAAAAGAGGTTGGCAGGAGGGCTTGTACCCTGTTTTCCCAAAAATAAGACAGGGTCTTATATTAATTTTTTGTTCCAAAAATGTATTAGTGCTTATATTCAGGGGATGTTTTATTTTTTTTTTCATATACAACAATCTACATTTATTCAAATACAGTCATGTCATCTTCTGGTTGCTGCACAAGGGTAGAGGGCCGGGATTTCACTTAACTAGGTCTTATTTTTAGGATAAGGTTTATATTACGAGCATCCTGAAAGATCCTACTAGGGCTTATTTTCAGGTTAGGTCTTATTTTCGGGGAAATTGTATTTTCATTTGTCTGTGTGTCTTTGTGTGTTCTGTGATATCCATGTGTGTACGAAATGATTGGAGGTACCAGCTCTGTTGGATTTTTCACCTCACATTTAAAAATCCTCACTTTTCAGACAAACCAGTCCCACGCCTTGCCAGGCCCCTACATGGTCATGGCAGAACTTAGTGAGGCTGGGGTGGGGGGGGAAGGAAGGGTGTGTCAAACACCGTGTCTCAACTTGAGAAACAGTAAGATTCAAATTGAAACAATGGTCCAAGCCATTTCCCCTTTGCTTCTCGTTGCTTTAAGAAACAGAAAACTCCCACAAAACTGAAAAACTGAAAATTGTTGTAAGCCGCCCAGAGACCTTTGGATAATGTGGGTGGCATATAAGGTAAAGAAATAAACAGACAGACAGACAGACAGACAGACAGACAGACAGACAGACAGACAGACAGACAGACAGACAGACAGACAGACAGACAGACAGACAGACAGACAGACAGACAGACAGACAGACAGACAGACAGACAGACAGACAGACAGACAGACAGACAGACAGACAGACAGACAGACAGACAGACAGACAGACAGACAGACAGACAGACAGACAGACAGACAGACAGACAGACAGACAGACAGACAGACAGACAGACAGACAGACAGACAGACAGACAGACAGACAGACAGACAGACAGACAGACAGACAGACAGACAGACAGACAGACAGACAGACAGACAGACAGACAGACAGACAGACAGACAGACAGACAGACAGACAGACAGACAGACAGACAGACAGACAGACAGACAGACAGACAGACAGACAGACAGACAGACAGACAGACAGACAGACAGACAGACAGACAGACAGACAGACAGACAGACAGACAGACAGACAGACAGACAGACAGACAGACAGACAGACAGACAGACAGACAGACAGACAGACAGACAGACAGACAGACAGACAGACAGACAGACAGACAGACAGACAGACAGACAGACAGACAGACAGACAGACAGACAGACAGACAGACAGACAGACAGACAGACAGACAGACAGACAGACAGACAGACAGACAGACAGACAGACAGACAGACAGACAGACAGACAGACAGACAGACAGACAGACAGACAGACAGACAGACAGACAGACAGACAGACAGACAGACAGACAGACAGACAGACAGACAGACAGACAGACAGACAGACAGACAGACACATACATACATACATACATACATACATACATACATACATACATACATACATACATACATACATACATACATACATACATACATATCAGGTCTCAGAAGTGCGTACTTCAAATTCCGAGGTTGCAGCATCAAGGGGGCAGACTAATGTTGTACAATGCGGACAAAATGTTTCAAATCCTTAGTGTAAAAAAATGGGTTTTTTACATGTCAGTGCTACCAGACATAAGGAATATCTAGGTTGTATCTTCTGACCTTGCATCTCTATGGAAGTATTGGTTATTGACAAAGTGGTCTAGACTAGCCAGCGTTCTCTCTGTCTTATTCTTTCTATATACCATAAGGAATATAATCCCCTTGATTTCTGTGGAGTCCACCGAGCTTTATCCAATCTGGGCCTACCAAATTTATTACATCTTGTCTTTCCAGAGCCTTTTCAGGTGAAGGACTTGCAGTGTTTGCCTGACATCACCAGCATATTTCTAAACTGGACCATCCCTGGAGGTGACATTGAGTCCTATGAGTTGGCAATGGAGACGTTACCAAGAGGAGGCCCCCAGGCTGTATCTGTTCTGGCTGTTTCCAGGGCTGACATCACTCTGGCAAAGCTGACTTCAAACACTCTCTATCAGATCAGTGTTAGAGCTGTTGGCAAGAATGGCATAAGGGGCCCAGCTGTGAAGGTGCACTGCAACACCTTGGAGGAAGGTACGTGCCTTTAGTCTCTCCACCACACCAAAGGGACTTCTAATTAGCAGTTTATTGTTCTAATAACAATAGTCAACTTGGAACTTCAGCTCTGAAAGAAGGGAGGCATCAGAATGGAGGCTAAGCAGAAATAGACACTTTGGTGACATGGCCAGATAATGGCTAAAATCCTGTTGTTGAGCATAGTAAGGCATTACTAGACTAGGCCCACTGAGTGGGGATTTGGTGAATGCGTTCCTACATGTTCTATTGATTCCATGGCTCTACTCTAATTGCGACTTAATGTGACAAGCTATAGGATTTTAGTCATAATATAACTGCTTTGCAGAGGCTAGAGATGTTACTTTTTCAGATTATAACTTCCAGAATTTTTGGATTTGTGATCTGAGAAAGTAACATGTCGAAGTTCTGCTGCTTAGTTTAGTGATGATAAGTAGCATGAACAGCAAGCCTGATATTTCTGCTTTAGGTCTCACTTCACTCTTGAGTTCAATAGCTGGCCTTTGATAGACCACTATCTTCCCAGCCCATCTTCTCTGGGGAAGTCACAGTGCTAGCTTACCTTACAAGAATGTGTGTAAAATACACTTAGACGCTTGAAATGTGTCCTTGATGCCTGTATAGCCGAAATGCACAAATCTAGATCTACAGCACCACCTGCAGGTACCCACAACTACTGCTTACTTTCTGGCTTTTCAACTGTAGTCCTTCCACCACCTGTGAGAGTGGACACTCCTCAGTTTGATGCCAGCTCCAGAGTCATCATTTTCCCCGATATGTTCAGTGAGGAAAATGGCCTCATCGAATATTATGGGGTGGTTGTCACCACCAATGAGTCTTGTAAGTATCTGCTCTGGCAAGAGCCATTCTTGTGGGATGTTGGCAACATTGAAGGGGAAAAGGAGGAAAAAGATAAAATACTTTGAGACTTTAAAACGAACAGGATTATTTCAGTGTCAGCTTTCGTGAATCAAAATTCACTTCTTCAGGCACAAGAAGTGCAAAGAAGGAGTCCATTTCACTTTGCTAGCATGTTGAAACTAACATGGCTACTTCTTTGGAATTTTTTTTTGTGAGAGGAATTCATGATGTCCCCATCAGGCTCATGATATTAAAGTGCTTCTCTCCATGTCTTCAGTATTGAGACCTACCCAAGACATCATCTCTCGCACCTGGTATGACCACTATTATGGGCAGGAAGACTCATACTTGGCTCTATTGGTCCCAAACCCATTCCATCTCAATGAAAGCACCAGTCCGAAGGCCTGGCCAGTGACAGTGGGTACAGAGGAATGCAGCCACTCTCGGAAGACTTGCAATGGGAAATTGAAAACGCATGCACAATACAGGTGAGAACAGAGGCCATATCACTGAAGTTCTGTCTGATCAAGCACTTTCTTTTCATTTGCTGGTCAGCCAACAAGGCACTTTGGGAAGCGCACTTCCAGGCCCAATGGAGTCAGCCACACCCTCGTGTGTGTCCCCAGCGTTAGTTAAGTGAAGCCCCCCTGTTTCTTTCCTATAGACAAGAGGAGAGATTTATCTAGTTTGCATTCAAATAGGAACCTACCTACTTTGCATTCCACAAACCAAAATGTCAATAGAAAAACAAATGTACTTCTAAATTTCCACCTTTTTGAATTTTGTGCTGCAATCCAATAAAAATGTATGTATTTGTGAAAATGATGCACAAAAATGCATTGTTAGTGAAACAGCTTGCAAAAAAACCTTGCCAAGTGAAACTAATAATTTTCTAATCCATACATGCACATATAGGTCTGAAATACAGCAGAAGGAAAACTCTGCTTACAGTAAACAAAGGGTGTGATCACATGAGGAAATAGATCATAATTTAGGTTGCTAGTGGAGGGGTCTGGTGTGATCTATTTCCTAGTGATCACTTGAGATACAGGGAAATGCACTCCAGCCTGACCCTAATCCATGCCGAAGCTAGACCTCTTTGGTCCAGCTCTAGGTCTACCACTACCTGGGGCCAGGATGGAGTGATTTCCCCATAGAAAATCATTCTTGTTAAAGTGATCCTTCCTGGTGCGATCAGGCATGCATCTTTGCAGCTGTCAGATTGCACCCTAAAGCTGTTTCTTATGTGTTTACAGGACCCAAATCAGCAATTTCTGAATAGGCATTCTAGAAATGCCACCAGGAAAAGAAAACAGAACTGCGATTCCATCTGGTGCAGGATGCAGTTAGTTGTGGATGATTAGCTGGAAGTTGGTTGTGGGGCACAACTTTCCTTCCGGGCCTCTCTCAGCGTCAGGATGCAGTTAGTTGTGGATGATTAGATGGAAGTTGGTTGTGGGGCACAACGTCCGACCAGCAATGGTCTATCTTCATCCTAATGTTTCATTAAGTTGTGAAGGTAAAAGTCAGGAACAGGAGAAAGGCAGAATAGAATTGTAAGAAATAGTGAAGGAATGAATTAATAAAATCCTGGGATTCTTTTCTGTGAAATAGGTTCAGTGTTGCTGCATTCACCAGATACAGCCAACGAGCTCCGAGAGTATCGTTCACAGCCTTTTCAGGTGAGGCATACCTCTTGGTCAATTGTAATATAAATTCACTAGATCTCGGGTTTCTTGATTAGTTGCATGAGGACCTTCCATGCATCTCTCACATAAACCCAGAAATATGTCCAATGGTAATTTTAGATGAGTAATTATGCCTCTATGCGTGTCTATGTATCATTAAGTCCCAGTGAGTTCACCTGGACATATTCCCAGGCAAGGGCATGTTATAATTTCCCTTCAGAATGGTGTTCTCAGATGTATTGGACCACACCTCCATGGAACATGTTGGGTAGGGATGATGGGAATGGTACTCCATCACATCAAAGGGACACTATGTTGCTGAAGGCTGGCATAAAGGATGGCAGTTGCATTGATTATAGTTTTAAAGTTTTGGTCCTGAAATTTGCTAATTGTCCTATAAAGCAATGGATGGCAGGGATCAGCAACGTCTGTGTGAGTCATTTTCATTAAAAGGATTTTTTTTCCAGGCTAGGGAGAAAGGAGCCTCAAATAAATGGGCCTTTTTATTGTATTTGTCTCCAGCAGTAGGTGCCTCAGCAGCTTCTGCTACTGTGTCTGCCCCAGTTATCACTGGGATTATTATGGGATTTCTCTTGACTATCACAACAATTGCTGGGTTGATTTTCTGGAGGCGTCAAAAGGCAAGGAGGTAAGAAAAGCTGCAGTTTTTTTTCTGTGGGAGTAATAACAATACAGCCAACCCTCGACTTACAAATTTAATCCATTCCAGAAGAAAGTTTGTAAGTCGAAAAGTTTGTAAGTCGAATCAGCATTTCCCATAGGAATGCACTGAAAACTAATTATTCCATTCGGGCTGTTTTTGGTTCTTAGGTTGAGGGGCGGTTTGTAACTCGAATCATTAGTTCCCATAGGAACTAATACAAAGCCGGTTAATCCGTTCCTATCACTAGGGGCAGAATTTTTTTTCCTTTTAACCTAAGATGACTTAGGTTAAAAAAGGAAAGAGGGAAGGAAGGAAAGAGGGAACAGACACCTTTTCAACAGAACACCTTGAAAAGCATCTTTTCAGCCAAGACAAGCACCTTCTGGGAAAAACCAAGCACCTTTCAGACAACAGATCACCTTGAAAAGCACCTTTTCAGTCAAAACAAGCCAATACAAGTACCTTTTGGGGAAAAGAGGGCAGGAAAGGAGAGAGGGAACACCTTTTAAAAATCCAAAAATCAAAATTTTTAAAAAAGCCAAAAAATAAAAATACAGTCCGTACAGCACTGTACCAGGCAATACCGGGCAGTCTGAACACTGTCTCCAAATCCACTCTCAAAGTGCTGGGAAGAGCGAGGAAGCAGACAGGCACCCTCTTCACTGGTTAACGGTTAACTGAAAGTTCAAATTTCGCACTTTCCCCACCTCCTACGTGTTTTTTTTCCGGTTCGTAACTCGAATCTAAGTTTGCAAGTCGAGTCAATATTTTTCTACCGGAGCAGTTTGTAAGTCGAAATGTTTGTAACTAGGGCCATTTGTAAGTCGAGGGTTGACTGTATATGCTAGGATTTTAGTTTAATGGGGATTGGCTGAAAACCTCTGGGCTGATGCTTGATATAAAAATATTCGTAGACATAATTTTTGGATGTCTGTGAAGGAGATGTCCAGAAAAAGGTGAAATGTGAATCTGCTGAATATAAGCAGAGCAGAGCAGGCATTAGATAGCATGCATACAATCATGGGTTGCAGTATAGAACAAATAGATTGGATAAAGAGAATAAAAACAACACAAAGAGTCTGTTATTTAGAGGAGTTTTTTTAAAAAATTCATCTGACATGTTTTTAAGCCAAAAGTAGACAAGGAGAGATGAGAAACACAGTTTGGTTGAAAGGCAGTCACAACATATTAGAACAGTTGTACAAATTATGTACAAATTTGTTCACTGCTTCCAGCAAATGTTTTTTGATTGTTTAAACTTTTGAGTAATCAAGAACACAGTATTCAAGTGGGATTTGGTTATGGCATGGGGAAATTCAAAGAACTCTTTCTTAACTCACCTCCATCCTCTAAATCACCATACACATGACCACATGATATGTTGGCATATGCAGGTTTAGGGACGTTCATTTGCTGACATAACAGTAAGTCCTGTCCTTAGGGAGGAGAGTCTGCAGTTAAGGCACTCATTTCCCACCAAAGTAACAACACGTACATCTTCTTTTCAGAATGGAAAAGGGCAATGTACCCCAAGAAATGGCCACATACAGTCTGAGGTGAGTATAACTACTCTCGTCTCTCCTAGCTTACTCAAAGAAGGATATCAGCTGTCACAGCGATGTAGTGGTAAATTTGGACCTATAGGGGGCTCATCATACCAGTGTCAGTAGATAGCCTTCCTCCCATAAGGAGACCCCAAAAATTCAGGCAGCTGGGTTGGTCCATATCAACAAATCAGGAGCAGATCATTAACGGTTCATAAAGTTAAATATTCTAATTGTCCATTCGAGTAAAAGGTCCTGGGAAAAGGTCAGTGCCATAACCTAAAAACACAGAAACAAAATATATAATAGGTAGAAATCCTGTGGTTCTCTAGCTGTTGCACTGATGCGTCAACCTATCATCTGTGAACACTGGCCATGCTATGTGGGGTTGCTGGAAATTGAAGCCCAGCATTCAGAGAGCCACAAATTCTCCATTGCCTCCTTAAAATCTTATGATGATAAGGTGGTGTCTTTGGGTCCTCCATGATCCTTTGGGGCCTCAGACATAGCCCCCACTATGTGCTGAATTTGCTGCATCGCAGTGGCAGCCACAAAAAAGCCACAAGTTACCTTTAGAACAATGCACCTGAGGACCACACATTGTCTTTTCAAGCTGAATGATGATGGGGGTGGTTTTGGCTTCTGGGAATTCTACCTACTATGATAAAATATCTGCTGGTCAATCTTACTACAAACTTTCAGAAGGCATTATGAGAGAAGGATATGTGGGTATGATTTGGTTCACTCCAATGATTACATCATGTGATCACTGTTAAGAAAAGTTAACCAGCCTTTCCCCACAGTGGTCCAAACTGCAGGATAAATGCCTGTCTGATTGTTCTATCTAGAAAGAACTCTACTCAGCAGCTAGATTCTTCCACTGCAATTTCTCTGATCTCTATTTTAATTTGTTGCAGAAACACCCACCGTCCAATCCTGCTACAAAATTTCAGGCAATATTATGAAGCAAAGGCAGCAAATTCCAACCAAGGATTCTTTCAGGACTTTGAGGTAATTGCCTTGCACTTCTCCAGGTCAAATTGAATCCAGGTTGGCCATGTTTAGAAAACACTGCAATTGTTTGCAGGCTGTAGAACCTTTGGTACTCTGGATAAAGGTGCGAACCTTTGGCACTCCATATGATTTTGGATTACAATTTCCAGAATCCCCAACCTGCATTGTCAATGATACTCTGGGAGTTGTAGTCTGAAGGACCTGGATGGCCAAAGCTTTTCTGCCCTGCCTTAGTTTCCCCCTGAGAGACAGTGATCAAGTTGAAAAAGTTTACCTCCTTGTCTCCCTACAGGAGCTGAAGGACGTGGGGAAGGAGCAGCCTAAAACAGAAGGTGAACTTTCTGCCAACTCATCCAAGAATCGATACCCCCATGTTCTACCATGTAAGTTGTTCTCGACAAAGCCACACATGGCTAATCTGTCTCTTCTTCTCTGATTGGGTTCAGTACACAGTGAACCCTCTTCTCTATTCTCGACAAAGCCACACATGGCTAATCTGCCTCTTCTTCCTGTGAACCCTTTTCTCTGATTGGGTTCAGTACACAGTTCTCTGTCATTAGTTTCTCCTCTCGCTAGCAGCAGGGTTGAAAGCTGGTTTGACATGCCTGAATAGAAATCTTAATTTGTGTTGCAGTTCCTCAGATAGTTTTGGACCAAGCTTTTGTGTTTACAATTCTATACATGCGTATACTCAGAAGTAAGTCCTTTTCAGTTTAGTGGAGCTTAATACCAGGTATAGAGGTATAGAATTGTGACCAAACTAGAATGACCTTTACTGTGAAACAAAACCAATCTTTAGATTGTGTTTTCTGTAAAATGAGAAGCTGCTTCTTTAAGCCAGATGTTATCAATCTCTGGTTCCATGTAGCATTCCTGCGATCACTGGAGGCATGGAATGTCTGTAGAGAGGCCAGAGAACCTCACAGTATCTGGCCTTGGCCAGAGATCAAGTAGAATTAAGTTGTTGGGCTAATCTGGAACATTATCATCCAGTCAGCATGGCCAATGCCACTAGTGGGATTGGTTGGGGATGATGGGAGTTTGCCACAAATAAAGATTGCCGGACTGGGAGTTGGGGCATTAACTAAACCATATTCTTAAATTTACATACATACATAAAAGAGAAGTTGTGTCTGCTATTTCTGTAATTGCCTTCATTGTGCAATGTGTTACCCCAGCATTATGACCTCAAAATCTGATCTCATTATAGATGATTACTCCCGAGTAAAGCTGAGCCCCTTGGATGGAGACCCCCATTCTGACTACATAAATGCCAACTTTGTGCCGGTGAGTTTCTGAAAACTATTAGCTTCCTCCCCTGGCCAGTATTAAATACCATTTTGTTAACACGGTACCTCTGCAATGAACACTTCATGTAGGGTTTCACAAATGAGTGAAGCAGATCCCTGACCTTAATTGTTTCCTGTCTGGATCAGTGCAACACGCTCTACATCAGGCTGCTTTTGAAAAATGGAGGGAAACTTCACCTGTTCAAAATGCTGGAGCCAGACTGCTGACTGGCAGTGATTACATGGATCCTATAATTCCCCTTTTACAACAGCTTCACTGGGTATCACTCTGTTTCCAGAGCCAAATGAAACCTATATGACCTATAAAGACCTTTCTTCTCAGACTGGATTTAAAGCAATAAGTGTTTTTTTAAAGGAATGCTGCATCTATTGAATGAAGACATTTCCAAAATGTTTTTAAAATAGTGTTTATTGTGTTTTTAATGACATTAGCTGCATCTATTGAATGAAGACATTTCCAATATGTTTTTAAATAGTTTTTATTGTGTTTTTAAAATGTTAATTAAATTGTTAATGTTAATTGTTTTTATTGTTGTATCTTTTGGTGTTTTTAATGGTGATGCTTATTGTGTTGAGATGGGCACACATCGGTGGTTTGTGGTAGTTCTTTGGCTGAACAGGTGTTCGGTGGTTCCCGTCTCCACCTCCTTTGGCAGGGGCCTGCCCAGAGGCAGCACCCAGAGGAGGTGGGGCAGGAAAGCTGGAGCGCCCACTGGAGGAGATGGAGTTGGGAACTGCTGAAGACCTGTTTGTCCAAAAGACAACGGGCAGTTCATGCCTATAGCAAAATGCCAAAAGGTGACGTCATTCCTGCCTGTCCATCACAGAAGGAGGAGCCAAGGATAGGGCAGGAGGGGCGGAGTTAGACAGACAGACAGTTAGAGAGAGAGAGTTGGAGATATGGAATGGCAGTTGGAGTTAGGGTTGAAGGGAACGAAAGAGAGGGTTAGTGAATTGAACTGAGAGTGTTAGGAGAGGTAATAGAGAAGTGTAAACAATATTCAACAAACAGGAATGAAAGTATAAGCACTACAAGAGAGATATTGATTGAACGTATACAGCAGCTTGAAATAAAAGTGATTGCCTACTTGATCCAATACGTGTTAATACCTGAAACAGTTCATATGTGATTTACCTTTATGATTTGTTTGACAATGAAAAAATACTTAATTAAACCCTCTGATTCCTAAGTTCTATAACCCTTAGTGTCGGCAGCACACATGTATGACATAAGTTGGTATTAGGAGAATACCTGGTGGCAGCGTGAAAGGGCGTGATCCTTTGTGAGGGCCAAATAAATAGGGGCAATAAAGGGAAGATCGCCGCAATGCCCATCTCTAGTTTTAAATAATTATGAGCTGATTAAAGTCCCCTTTGGTTGGATAATTCAGTGATTTAGGTATCTGGCTGCAGAGCCAGAGGTTGGAAGTTCAATGTCTCCTGCGAGTAAAGCCAGCCTGTGTGGTCTTGGGTAAGCTGCACAGTCCCAGAGTGTCCCTAGAAGAAGGGAATAGTAAACCACGTCTGAGAATTCTCTACCTGGAAAACCCTGAAAAGAATTGCCATAAAGTCAGAATTGATTTGATGATGCATAGTTATTATCATTAAAATCCCCTTTAGAGAGAAAGGTGGCATATAAATAAAATAAAATAATTAATTAATCAGCAAATAAACCACTGCACAACTAAAATACATCTATCATTAATTATTGGCTACAGGAGATTTTTTGGAGGAAGTATATACAGTACATCAATAAGTATGCAAGGAAGAAGTTGTTACCATAGCTTAAGAGTTTAAAAAGTTTCAGCTTCTTAAAAATCGACAATATGCTGCCTGAGAACATAAGCCCAACCCAGCAAAAGTTCATTGCAAGTCTCATTCTCTTATTTTCAGTAGGATTTCATTGTATTTCAGTTTTGCTAGATTGTGCCTTTGAAGGTAAATTCTTGAAAAGTAAGCTAATTTGGCTTTTAAAAAAATACAATACAGAATTTTTTAAAAGACACAAGCAATGCATGCAATTTTTCTTTGTTAATATATTGGTGTATTCTAGCTAACTCTATCTCTCCATTATTGCAGGGTTACAGTTCTCCACAGGAGTTCATTGCCACACAGGGGCCCTTGAAGAAAACCTTGGATGATTTCTGGCAGCTAGTCTGGGAGCAGCACATCTGTACCATTGTGATGCTTACTGTGGGCATGGAGAATGGACGAGTAGGTCTGATGGCCATTGTTTCAGGGCATGAGCTACTGAAGAAAAACTGTAGCTTTTTTTAAAAAGTGTGGTATCATCCTTGTTCCCTGCGTAGACAATGAATGTCCTGGTCAGGCAAATGGGGAAAAGATTTCATTTCTTTAACATCAGTAGAGGCCTGTTGTTCTGGATTTGGCAGAACAGCACGCTGAGAGACACACTAGACATATTATGCCAAAATGATTAGATTATTGGGCCACAACTCAGAAGACCTGGGTTCAAATCTCCAGTTGCCCACAAAACTCAATGGGTTTCCATGTGCTAGTCAAACACTCTCAACCTAATCTACCTCACAAAGATGTGAGTTAGAGAGCCAAGTACCCACCCTGAGCTAACTGGAAGAAAGATAGGCTATAAGTGCAAGGAAATGAGTAACGAATAAATAGAAACTTCAGAAAACAACATAAAGCAGCTTCTAGGTGCTGTTAGAAGATAACAGTATCTAGAATTCTGCTGCTGCAAACAGCAGCAATCAAATGGGGGGACTGCTCCAGCCATTTCCTGTCAGCCACTTCCTACTAAAAAAACCCTTGCCAGCTCTTTTTACCCTCAAAGAAGGTAGGAAATATGTAAGAACAACTGAAATCTGATTAAAGCACTCAGCAATGTTAGATGAATTTTTCTCCAAAATGTATTATGATAGTTGATATACATGAAACCTTGTTTAATTATGAATGTGAGGGAAACAAATTAAAGGTGATATGATTAAAAGGACACCAGAATTACAACAACCTGTTTGCTTTGACAACTGAAGTTGTACATACAAAAAAAGTGGCATGTTCAAAAGGAAACTGCATTATTTTGGCAAGCATAGTATATGTTGAATTCTAGAAGACAAACAAAAAAGTCAAGAAAGATAGAGTAAAGAAAAAGGTAAAAAAAACCTGTTTCAGCAGATATTTGTTGCCTTCTGAGTCATTTACTTTCAGACCATAAAAAGTGTGTGTGTTTGAACCATGAAGGCTGCATGTTACACACAACTCTTGTTTCTAGTGCACCACCACAACTCCCTTCCTTTCAGAAGTTGCTGCATTAGATGGTTCCTTCATGTTGTTCAATGTTAGGACCAGGATGTTAGCTAGGATTGCTGTCTCCTAATTGATTATCTCCCACAAGTAATTTTGTTCATATTGTATCTCACAGCCTAAGTGATCTTCATTACTTATAAAATAGGGATATTCATTAATTTCCTGTGGCCGGGGCTGGTCCTACCATTAGGCAGAGTGAGGTAGTTGCCTCAAATGGCAGATATTGGAGAATTTAGGACCAGGATGTTAGCTAGGATTGCTGTCTCCTAATTGATTATCTCCCACAAGTAATTTTGTTCATATTGTATCTCACAGCCTAAGTGATCTTCATTACTTATAAAATAGGGATATTCATTAATTTCCTGTGGCCGGTGCTGGTCCTACCATTAGGCAGAGTGAGGCAGTTGCCTCAAATGGCAGATATTGGAGAACAACAATGGCAGCCCCCATCCCAGCCTTTCCTGCACCTGCAGTGGTGAAGTAAGCTTTAATTGCCAGGTCTGTCAGCTTTTGTGCTTCGAAGTGAGCTAGAGCAGCCCTTCTATCCTTTTTTTTGTCAAAGCCAAAAAAGAAATATAAGCCAAATCAAGATTGTTTAAGTCACATAACAAGCCTGATAAGGTGATGTGTGAATAATTGTTTCCAGTCTGTGCCCCCCTTAAAATGTGCCAGGAGCCCCCTGGGTGCCCCTCCCCCCCCTCACATTGAGAATGGCTGGGCTGGAGAGCAGCATATTGTCTTTTTCTCCAGTTAGCAAAATGTCTTACACAAGTCCTGCCGTTGACTTAGGGATAGATTTGTACTAGAGATGGGATATTTTTATTTGTTACCTGAGAGAGACCAATACGAATATTGCTACCACAGGTGGCAGGGTGACACACACACCCAAACTTGAGGTGTGTGTGGCCGTTGTCATTCACGCTGCGCCAATCATGGAAGTAGCCCGTCCCTGCACTGCTGACCACTCAGCAGCTGAGTGAGGAGACTTGGCATTCCACCTCCTCACTGGAGTGGTCAGCAGTACGGGGATGCGGGGAAAAGCCAGCGCAGTTACTTCCACAATTGGTGCCCTGTAAACAATGATAGCTTTATGTAGTAAGTGGACCAATTGGTTTTTTGGGGGGGTAGGTCTGAAAGGGCCTGGTTACCTGTGGTGACAGTATTCATATTCATCTCCCCTGGGAGACAAATACAAATATCCCATCTCTAATTCGTGCTTGTACATATGAGTTATTGGCAGTGTGCTATGTGGAGGTGGGGTGCAGTAGTAATTGGCATCAGCCCCAAGCCACCATTTTGTTCCGATTTGCTGCCCTTGAGCTTCCAATAAAAAAGAAAGCAGCCCTTGCTGTGCCTGCCCACTCTTTCCATGAAGCATGTTCTAATGCTCAGTAGACGTTGCCCAAAGACAGCCAACGGTAATGAAAAGAGAAACAAAACATAAATTGTATTCTCGAATTGTATAATAACATAAATTATTATCAGCAGGTGGCACATCCTAGTCTCTTTTCTGCTGGCATCTCTTCCGGCTCCTCACTCTTTCTTTTTTCCTTGAAAATGTTCATTAACTTGCCTCTCCTCCTAGGTACTATGTGAATGCTACTGGCCCTCGGATTCCATTCCTGTCTCTTCTGGGCAAATCAGCATCCACTTGCTGGCTCAGAATTTTGCAGACGAGTGGGCAACAAGGGAATTCAAACTCCAACATGTAAGTAGGAGATCAGCCAGTACAAGAGCCTCCACAACAGCTCTCCGTGGTCTTGCCAAATCAGAACTGCAAATGCAAAGTGAATGGAAGCTTGTGGTGATCCGAGCAGTTCTGGGGAACAAAAACAAGGCAAAATTAAAAATTTATGGGCTCTAGAGAGAGAGAGAGAGAAAAGCCTGAATATAAGGAGCATCATTTACAAGATGGGTTGGTGGGGTTGAGGATCAAAACCAGTATGGCAATTTCAGGCCCTCCGGGATCTGAAACTAATTTCTAGATAATGGAAATTTCTCCTAAAGCAGCTATCTTTTTGGACCTAAAGTCTGCAGAGGTACTCTCCTGGATCAAACAGTTAGGGTGGGTCCTTGCTGCTAATTTCCGGGGGCCTCTGAATCGGGAAGACAAATGAATGCCTAGAGAGTGACAGGACAGTTGTCAAGTTGCACTTGAGTTGATATGGTAACCATATTATCATCATCTTATTCTTCTTTAAAAAACATGTTGTGGTCAGAATCAGCTGAATATGTACATTTTCATTTTACTGTTTTTATTGGTGTTATTCCTTTCTAAGAAAAAAATTGTGTCTGTTTGCACAAAAATCTGTTTAACATTTTAGCATACTCCATTTTATTCTTCTTTTCATGATTTAAGCAAGTTCAAAATGCTAAGCTATCATGCTCAGAGTGCTTTTTGCATCAAGGCCCCTTCTCTGTAACATATCAGGATTGTAAAGAAAGTCTCCTACAGTTTCAAGATTAGGATTTTGCCTATTGTAAGGTCAGTATTATGTGTGGTATGCTTAATTATTTGATTCAGTCAATCAGTTCTTGCGTCTGTTGGCCCAGAACAAACTCTCATACTTTACCTCCTATAGCAAGCACCAATGTGATCTTCTTTTAACACAGGAAGGGCTAAATATGGAACGGAGAGTGGTCCACTTGCATTACACAGCATGGCCTAATCATGGTGTTCCTGAGTCCACAACCTCTATGATTGCATTCATAGAGCTGGTGCGAGCACACATGCAAAGTGCAAATGAAACTGGACCTACATTAGTACATGGCAGGTAAGCTGCAGGTAATCCATCTAGCCGCTTGCAGGACCCACGGCAACTTACCATATACATCTAGAATAATATATACATTTAAATCATCATCATCATCTTAGAACTGCAGAGCTGCAAGGGACCCTATGGATCATCAAGTCAAGGAGGCACTACAGAGAACTCAACTTGCAACCTCTGGCGCTGGCCATTGAGCTGCAACATGAAATTTGTGATAGATGAAGGGCCCAGATATGACAGCTGAGTAGAGGTTGCAGAGTTACTTTTCAGAAATAAAAGGAACTCTTTACTGGATATATCATATCCCTAAACCCCACAAAATCCACCCACCACTACCATTAGTGATTCTTTACATTGCTCATTACTTTTACATTACATTTCCTTTTTAAAAAAATCCAGCTTAAAAGGTGGGAAAACTCCCCTCAAAATGCCCCCAGAAGGAAGCAGAAAAGTTACATAGTAAAAGCAATGACTTTGCCAGTACTTACTGATTCTGCAAAAAATCTGTGGGGATGGAAGCCTGATCTTGTCTAAGTTCCGTCTCTGGGGGTTCAGAAAAATGTGGAGTTATCAGGTGGGGAAGAATGAGAAGGGACAAAACCCATGAGCTTGAGCTGAAGGCAGCCAGTGAAAATCACTGCGTTCGTTGTTGTTGCAGTGCAGGTGTGGGGCGGACAGGCACCTTCATTGCTCTTGATCGACTCTTGCAGCAGTTGAAGCATGAGAAAGTGGTGGACGTATTCAATGCCGTCTACAGTCTGCGGATGCACCGCCATCTAATGATTGAGACTCTGGTAAGAAAAAAAATAGGAATTCTTTGTCAGGTTCCACTGTTGCTTTGGATCAAGTTATTTAATGATACCAGATAGCCACGTAATAAGAAATGAAAAATAAAGATGGTTACATTCATTTTAAAAATAAATGGGAGAGAAAAAAATCCAAGCAGGAAAATAACTTAATGACTGAAAGGCTTTGGAGACTAGTTTGAATGCAATGATTAGTGCTGCTGCATACAAATCTAGAATGGCCATGATGATGCCAATCCTCTTGTAGGAAAGGAACAGGAAGAAGTCATCCAGAGTTAACGGTATTCAGAAACTTCAGCTCCCAGACACTTCATGTGTCTTTTGAGCTCTGAATCTAACAGTAAGTCAGAGATTGACTTGAATTCCCCTGCAGCTCCCAAACATTTTACGTAAGCACACTAATCACGGGAGCAGTGTGCACTCTCAAGGAGAAATGTAGACAGTCATGTTTTGGAATATGCTGAGCCTCAGGGCTAAGTTGATCTGTTGCTCTTGTCATGGAAAGGCATGGAGCAAAAGCTTACCCAAATACCACAACAGGTCAGTACCAATGTTAGAAGAGAAGCCAGAAGCTCGCATTGCATACAAAAACGAAACTGGGTTGCCTTTCTGCTTTAAGATGTGTTACAATGAGATCAGCTCCTGTGTAAATAATATACTTGTGTACCTTTCTCTTCCAGGGACAGTACATCTTCCTGCACAACTGCATTTTAGAAAAGATCTCTGAAGAGCCCCTTCATGACCTGTCTGTGGTAGAGGTGTAAGTATCTATTTGCTTTCCCCTTCTGCAGGAGCAATCCTATCATAAGCCTCATAATTATCCTTAGTGCATCCATTGCCAGTTGCTATAAAGAGACCTCTTCTTCCTAATCCGCTATATGTAAGTGCATCATTATGCTACTGCTGCAGGATCAGGGCTACTATAATGTAAGAAAAGAACATTCCATTTTGTTTGCTCGTTTAAATTCATAATCTGAAAATGCCATCAGGAGCAAGCAACCTGTACACAGCAATCAGAAGGCAATCTGCAGGACCAAAACCTCTTCTTTTTGTATGAGCTTTCGTAGAAAAATTGTCCAGCACATGCTAGTTGTTTCTAGAGTCATATCATTCTCATTGTTGCAAAGAGAATAATTGCAACGATAAATGGTGGTCCTAGGCTTTCAACATTAGTGCTGGTGTTTCTCTGCAGGTATTTCATCTTATGCTAGATGGACTTGAAGGGATAACTAAATAATTAAACCAATTTATTGTGGTTTTTTTCAAGCTCACATCCTATTCCTCTCAAGAATTTCCTTCAGCATCATGCAAAAAATTGTAGCAATGCCAATGCTGGTTTCCTGAGAGAATATGAGGTAAGAGAATCAGCAGATGCTGGGCTTAAGGAGGCTCTCCCCTAAGCCTTTGTAATAGCCATGTGCAGTGTCTTCATATAAATGTGTAAAAATGCACCAGTTCAGTGATATTTGAGCTTTTCGAGAATGGCCGTGATTTCAAGGAAGAAGCCCAGAAGCCTTCAACAGTTGGAGTGGCAAACACATGGATCCTGTGTATGAAATCTGGCATTGTGTCCTAATTAGAAGAGGTGAAAGAAAAAGACAAATTAAGGAAGATATAAGAGAATATGCTCTTTAAAGTGGACCTCCTTTGCATTTGCAGCTGTATAATAATTGATTAAATCATCAACATCTTGCTGCAGCACTGCTAATTTCAGCTTCATAACTCCTCAGAAGCAAAACTTCTCAATGGAAGTAATAATTCAGCTCAATGTCACCAAGTGATGAGAAGTCAAGAGATGATCATGTATACCATGAGATCGTTAAGAGAGCATCCCTCTTTGCTCTGTTCCCTTTATGGGGAATTGCTCAGAAACCTTGCTAGGTTAAGGCTCCCAAGTCTTACTCTGGGGGCATATATTTTAGTAGAGGGACTTCCATGATGGCTGAAGTGAAAGAGTTAAGCAGCTAATCTCTCTGCATTATTTTCTCACTGAAAATTGCTCAGGGTATGCTTTCACTTAAAAAAAGGTCAGAAAAAAGATACAGGCAGTTGCATGGAACACATTATTTGTCACAGCCTTGCCCTTCTGACTGAATGCTTGAACAGAGGAGAAAAGTACATCCTTGACTGACAACTTGCCCATTTGTCTGTGTCTATCTTTCTTTTCTGTGCTGTTTTTTCTCCAGCAGATGCTCTTGGAGGCTGCAAAAGAGGAAGTCAGTTCTGCTATTGTGTCTTCTGACAACCAACAGATCAGCCTTGACTCCAGCAAGAGCCATTGTAAGTAACAGATTTTTGTTGGACATGCAGGAGAAAAGGATAAACGTGAAGGGTTGAGACAACAGATTTATAGATATTAAGGAAGAGGGGAAGGCTTGGATGACCTGGAAAATCCTACAGATATGTATGTAGCACATCAGGACAAGGTGGGCCTTGGCAGTGTCACTCATGACTGGAGTAGGCTTCCACAAAAGATGAGGTGACCCCTCCCCATCTCAGTTTACAAACTGCCCTTAATTGTACAACCTGGGAAGTTGCTTTCAGAATGTGGTGTTGGTATCCTCATGTTTGACAACATGGTCTTTGGCCAAATGTTCCATCTTGCCTTCTTTGTTACTTATGTCTCCTCAAAACTACTGAGGGCAATAGAATTGCTTGCTGTAGAGTGCACAACAACAACAAAAGAGTGCATTTTCACTGACTTTCTCAAACAGCTGCAATTTATTTTACCATTATCGTCAGTGGTAAAGCTTCTCACCTTCATAGGTAGGTTCAGACCCTCTGAAGTGAAGAACCAATGTCATATTATGTTGGTCTACTAATGTTTCAGAAATGGAAGCATCCTCATATAGATACATAATGCTCCCAAACTTCTTGGTAATACTTGAACAGGCACAGTAGCTATGGGATGTAGTATATGACAGAGAAGAATTGAGATTAAGATAATATTTGCCAAAAACTGTTCAATGATCATTTGACTGATGTTCAAACTAGATATTAAGAGGAAATCACATGTCCTTCAATTAATGTCTCCTATTGACCATATTTTCTCAGAGATACATACTTCAACAATCAGACTTGCAGATCAAGCTCAAGTTTTCCTTTCAATGGGCAATCACAAAGCAAAGCATGTTAACTGTGAATATATGTAGGTGAGAAAAGCCAGATGCTATGAAAATCATTTCTTTTACCATTTGATCCTGTAATGAGATATGAAAGAAGAACTAGCTCATTTTCTATAATTACAATGCTGACAAAAATCCTTATTTTACAAGGAAAAGTCACACAGCGAATCCATAACTAGGTGTCAGTGTGAATAAGGAAGGCATGGGAAATCACAGCTAGGCTAAGGTGGCAAATGTCACACCAACTCCACCCTAATCATGGTGCATAGTATGAATGCCAGCTAAGTTATTTTTACACATGAAAGAAAATAGCAAAACACCACTCTCCTTTCCCTGCTGTGAAAATACAACAAAACCAACAACGAGTTAGATAGCTGACAATTTGCTACCCTTCTGTGACTGCCAAAATCTGCTCCCTGAGATAGACACTTCACTCTAACCAATGATAGGGCCAGTGAGTGCCCTGGTGGCTGGGCAGCTAGGCCTTTCTCTTTGACTTGGAACATCTATTCCTTCCTTGTGCTAGCCTTCCTGTATTTGTTGCTTCTGTTGTTTTCCCCTGTTAAAGCCCTGCTCTTTCCCTCTAGATCAGAACACCTACTGAAGCATGTGAAGGAAAGATATGTGCATGAGATGGTGGGAAGTTAGAAATAACAAAAAATAGGGGTAGGGTGGGTATTAGAAATACCGTTGGTACATGACTGGAAGAAGCTAGGTGCTGTGGGGATTGTTGGGTCCACAGCAACCATGGTAGCAATGGAACCATTTAAAATTCACCAGGCTGGTTGTACAATGTTGTACAATGTAGGGAGTGAAATCCTGCTGCGTGGGGCTGAGTTAAGCCTTATAAAGTGTTATCTCAACCTTTGATTCTTATACTAAGGCTCTTTTACAGACAATCGATCTAAAGTGAAGTTCTCACCCGTAGATCGAGATCCCTTCTCTGACCTCCCACACGTCTGGTTCATCCCTGTGAGTGCACCATGAAATATGCTTACCATTTTTTGGGAGAAGCTCCTGTTTTGAATCTCCCAAGTGTCCTTTGTGCTTCGTTTGCTGCATTCCTGTAGAACGTATAAGTTGCTTATGTCAAGTGCAATAACACTGCACTTGTAGACTTTTGGAGGCATGAGTTTCATACCCCCCCCAGCAATTAGGAAGGATATCCAGGGGCTTCTCAGAAAGGGCTTGGTGAGACAAGGGCTGCAGCATTCACCTCCAGAGGTCTATCCTGGGACATTTCACTACCTGTGACAAATAACAAGATGTTGACCTTCTTCCACAGGAAATGTTCATACTGATGGTTGAATCTGGCATTGACAGGGTAGAGTCCTCCACGTCCTCCATTGTACCTGAGAGCAACAGGCTAGCTTAGAGAGTGTGCGGCAAAGTGCAACTTAGTCTTTCATCATCTTGCCATTGCTCCCAGGGAGCAGCTGTTAGTAAGGCCTGCTGTGCCAGAACCATAAGTTTCTGGATCTAGAATAACCAGCTCTTCGGACTCTCTCCCCAACTAAGTACGTAACAAGCTCACAAATGTTCTCATAGATGGTAAAAAGGATCTTCAACAAATCAAGACATCCTGTAAAAATGGGGTGGGGGGAGAAATTGTGGGATGTTTGCTCCTATATGAGAGCAAAAAGATGGCCACCTTTTTCATCAGCAATAGCGTTTGCAATAGAATTGTATGTTGTGTTGAAAGCCTTGTGTTTTGCACAACACATGTCTTCCACATAAAAAAAAAATGTGGATTTTTCATAAAAAGTGCCAAGATGCAAAACAATAACATTAACAGGGACCAAAAGTTCAAGCACAAATTCTATCATCAGATTCATGTTACTATGAACATCCAAAGTTAGATTGTATTGATTTTCTGGCATTGACACTTATTTTCTTAATCTGCCAAATCATTTCTTTCTCTTGGCTATCTATAATAGCTGAAACTCCATTTTCCTTTTCTTTTTGGCAGGGTTGCAACTCAATCAAGGATTATATAGCTATTGAAGGACCATACAAACTTGCGTTGGAAGAATTCTGGGGGCTAATCTGGGAACACGGAGTCCACACCATCATCACTCTACAGAACAGTACAGTAAGACAGTAGTTGTGTAGAGAGATATCGAATTCAGGAAGAGAGACTACTTTGAGATGATGGGATTCAGTGGTGCGATAGCTTAGTAAACCTCCAATGTTTCCATGAGAGATTGGCAGGCATCAGGGATCATCAAAGTTTGGCAGTAATTCCATTTACACTTGGTTGCATAAAAGTTGTGTCTGTATAAATAAATCCCATGCAGTCTTAACATTGCCATTTGCTGGAGTTCTTATTTAGGTAGCTCCATCCTTCCAGGAAAACCCATGCAAATGGCACTGTTGCTATGTCTGTGCATTTTTTCATATTAATCTATGGAATTGTGCTAATGGAATGAACCCCCAGGAAGTTGCCTTTCACATAGCATTAGTATGGGAGCACTACGTGTACCTATGTCACATGTGTGTTCAGTTCACAGGCTATCAAATCTGCATCATAGTCACTCTGAATGACCAGTAGTTGTTGTGACATCACCCCAGTTAGAAGCAACTAACACTCTGGCGTGAGGAGGTATCTAATAATGGGTTAACTCACCTTATTGCTGAGGCACACATTATTTTTTGATTTGATTTGATTCAGCTCGATTCAATTCAATTCAATTTGATTCCATTTATATACCACCCATTTAACCAAAGGCCTCTTTGGGTGATTTATATCTAGATCTCGCCCAGTTAGCCCATTCTTGGATGTCTCCATAGAACCAAATCATAAGAAACCTTCATGGGAAGAGCAGATGTTCAACCTTCTAACCTCAATCTTTATTTTTTGTGTAGACTCCAGACAACTCATGCTGGCCCTCCGAGAGTGAACCAGTCTGCACAGAAAGGTTGATTGCACAGAAAGGTCCAGAGAAGGTCATTTCAGGATGGCAATGCGTTCAGCTCAGACTGAAATATGTACGTGAGTTGGTAAGGAGGGGAAGGTGGTAAACTATGTGAGACCAAAAATAGGGCCGTATAGAAGTCTGAGGCAAGGCAAGAGAGGTTGCTGGATGTACATATTGAGCAGACACTGTCTTCAGATTCATAAGAACGAAATGCAGTTTAGAGTTGGCTGAATCTGAGATGTCATAATTTTCTCTTCTGGCACCTAGTTTGTGGCTCATGGTAGTCAGGTGACCTTCCATGTGCCTCCATCCACCCATTATCCCCCCTCTTCAGCTTCCTATCAAATATCCAGATTATCAACACACGGGAAATGTTATTGGATGTTGTGAAAATAATGTTTTGGTCATTCTCAAAGCCTTGTTGTTATCGTTGTTTCGTCATTGGACCAGAGCACGCCAGGCCCTCTTGTCTTCCACTGCCTCCCAGAGTTTGGTCAAATTCATGTTGGTTGCTTCGATGACACTGTCCAACCATCTTGTCCTCTGTTGTCCCCTTCTCCTCTTGCCTTCACACTCATTAGCCAGCTCAAAGCCTAGCTAATGACTATATTTAATATTTGAGCTGAGAGGGAGCATAATTTTTCTCTGAGGATAGAGACTTAAAAAGTTGGTTGTTTTGTATCTTCTTCTAAAGCTTGGTTTGCATGTGTGAGTCATCTTGGGATATGAGACCTCTGTTCTTCTTCTAAAGCTTGGTTTGCATGTGTGGCTCATCTTGGGATATGTGTTCTATTGGCATCTTTCAGTGCTGCACCAGGTTTCTCTTTCTGGCTGACTGTAGTCTGGGCTGTATAGACTGATTTATGAGAAGCTAGTGGATAAATGTTAATGTCTTCTGCTAGATACTTATGGTGTTTCAGTTGTTTTTATTGTGTCAGTTGGACTGAGTGTAGGCCACAGTGAATCTTTTTAAAAACAGAAGTTGGATTATATATAGACATGGGGACAAATATAAAAACAAATCAGGATATTCAATAAATATCCCTGATTCATCAGATATTCATTGCTTTGTATTCTTGGGTTCCATTGACCCCGATGAAACAATGAATATAACTCTTTTATATTTTTCCCTTCACCCCCTTTGCAGAGGTAGTGGGGCTGTGGAATGGCTTGGGTCCCCCTTTCCTTCTCTTCCTATATCACACAGCATAGGGAGAGGAGGGAAGGGATCAAAGGCAACGGGTTTTGACAACCCAAAACAAGATGAAGTATCATTTTATTGCTTCATCCCCATCTCTAATTATTATTGTTGTTGTTGTTTAGTCATTAAGTCATGTCCGACTCTTCGTGACCCCATGGACCAGAGCATGCCAGGCCCTCCTGTCTTCCACTGCCTCCCAGAGTTTGGTCAAATTAATGTTGGTAGTTTTGATGACACTGTCCAACCATCTTGTCCTCTGTCATTCCCTTCTCCTTTTGCCTTCACTCTTTCCCAACATCAGGGTCTTTTCCAGAGAGATTTCTCTAATTATATATTGTTATAAATAAAAAAGGCTGCATGATAGATCCATAGACTTTTCTATGATACAGGATGTATTACTGCCAATCCTTTCTCTCCCTTGCTTTCTGTAAGAAGTCTGGAAAAAGTAAGACAAAAAAAGATAAATACTATGACTAAGCCACCTAACTGACTCCAGATTTTAACTCTTAGACCATTCCTAGCCCTTCCATTCTCTAGCACTAGATCACTAAGGTAATGTCTTCCAAACCTTTTCTGCCATAGCAGAAAATTGATGGTGCAGTGTTGTCGATCTCATATGTGCATTTGGACCAGAGTCCAAAGGCAGGCAACTTTCAGAGATCTGGAGCTGCATATACCTACTCCTTGAGCTTGGAAAAATGCATTTGTTCACACAAAGCTTGTTGTTTATGTGCCATCAAGTTGCTTCCAACTTATGGCGACCCTATGAATGAACAATCTCCAAAATATCCTGTCCTCAACTGCCCAGCTCAGCTCTTGTATATATATTGGAAAGGATGTTCTAGAGAAAAAGCCCTTTGCTCTATTTAGTGTTCACAGTTTTGCCACTTGTGAACTCTTCTAGGTGACTTTGGTTTTAGGCCCCAAGAGAGCCACATGAGACCTCTGCCCACCCTAAACTACACCTTGTCCATGTATGCATAAAAGCCTTTCAGATACAGCAAGCTGTTCACCCTTGCACTGGCCTACCTTCTACATTTACACTCACTTACTTGTTTCACGATCATGATATCATTGCTGCCTTTTCAGGAGAAAAAGGCTAAGGAGAGGCTGCTGCAACGGTTCCGGTTTCCTTTGGGAGAAGGAGAAGACTTACCAGACCCTGAAATCCTGGTGGGCTTCCTCACCATGGTCAGGGAACTAACGCCATGTCGGAAGAGAACCAGCCCCTTTGTTCTGCACTGCAGGTAAGGATCTGGTTCCCAGTAGGTTAAAGATGTGTTCACCAGGGGTAACGAGCACTGAAATCAATCCCACATGGGGTATTCCCAGTCCAGGGGATGGTGAATGTGAATAGCCAGTCACAAAAGAAGGGTAACATCCCAGCCCTTGACCAATGGTTCTTATTTCTTTCCTAGTTTGGGCAATGTGAGTCAAATGGGGGTGCTGATTGCCTTGGACACCCTCCTGCAGCAGCTGAAAGAAGAGAAAAGTGTGGATGTCTATGGTGTTGTTTTGAGACTGGTGAAGAGCTGCTGCCTCATGACCCCAACACTGGTACGTAACGGACACCAAAAGATGGTTCTGGCCTAGAACTGTGTCAGGGCCAAAAGGGGCACATCTGTACTCTTTTGTTATAAGTGAATCTGCAGATTCACTGTATATAATACCTGGACTAAAATCCAGTTGGTGGTCCCAACTAGAGTAGACCTGTTGAATCAACTGTTGAATGGGGAGGGAACATTTGTGTAAATTTCAGCAATTCAGCAGTTCTGCTAGAGTACCAACTGGACAAAGGCCTCTGTCTCTGAAGCCAATTAAAAGTCGCAAGTCACAGTGTGCTTACTACTTTTTCTCTTGTGTTGGTACCTTTTTAGGTTGGCTATAGTCGTTGTCATTTTAGACTATGAAGAAAGAAGCACAGAAACACTAGCTGAGCCTTCAGAGCAAAATGCCCCATCAAGAATATGTGAACGTTTTTGTTACTTGTTCATCATCATGGTAGGAAGTAGCATGATGGCAAAATTATAGGGGGGAAAGAGGAAGAGGCAAAATACTAGAGTACTAAAAAGATACTGGCAGATTTATTCCAGTGTGAACATTTGTGGAAAAGCTTTTGGTCCATGAAAACTCACACTGAAAAGAAATCTGTTAAAGTGCCACAGTATTTTGCCTTTCTCTCTCTTTTCCCCCTTTTAATTTTGCCAGCATACTAAGAAATAGGCAGTTACTTAAGAAATGGATAATTCAATTGGCCTGAACTCCTATAGTAAGCCCTGTGGCTCCTTCTGTATAGCTTAATTAATCATAACCATCATCATGTGCCATTAAGTCAGTTCTGACTTTTGGTGACCGTTTTTCAGTTTTCCAGGTAGAGAACATAAGTGGTTTACCATTCCCTTCTTCTGGGCACGCTACTCAAAGCCATACAGGCTGGCTGTACTCACAGGAGTCACATTGAGGAATCAAACTCCCAACCTCTGGTTCTACAGCCATATGCCTAAACCAATGAGTTATCCAGACAGCTATAGCTTAATTAATTACTTTAAATTCTTAGAAGCCACTTTTTAGAGCAAACGCTCCTTACAAAGTGTGCTATACACATATTTCATTGTAAAAGTTTGTAAAAATAATTTTAAAGATTTATCTGATGCTTTTTAGGATCAGCTCTACCAGAATGTTGTACAACACGTAAAAACACAAATACAACAATAATAAAGCAAAAAAAATAGTGTTCTATCTTACTTGTTTTATACCCTCTGAAATTTCTGAACCGTTTTCACCCATTCCGTAACTACCATATCTCCCACATCCTTAGAGGAGTCTGTCATGATCAAGCAACATTTCACACAGTAGATTTTTTTGGACCTGCCTTCTTTTACCAGAGCCAGAGGGATGTCAATGAGATTTCATTTTTGAGGAGGAATTGCATGATGCATCAAAGCATTCTTCAGCTTCTGTGGGATGCTCATACATGCTCTGATTTTATGAAATAGTTCATCTCCATCCAATAAAGAGTGGACAAAATTCAAAATGATCTTGATAGGATGAAGCACTGGGCCAAAAGCAACAGAATGAAATTCAACAGGCATAAGTGCAAAATACTGCACCTCGGAAAAGAAACGAATTGAACAGTTACAAAATGGGGGATACCTGGCTCAGCAAAACTACAAGTGAGAAGGATCTTGGAATTGTCATAGATCACAAGCTAAATATGAGCCAACAGTGTGATGTGGCTACAAAAAAGGCAAAGGCTATTTTAGGCTGCATTAATAGAAGTATAGTTCCCAATCCCGCGAGGTGCTAGTCCCCCTCTATTCTTTGCTTGTTTAAGCCTCACCTTGAGTATTGTGTCCAATTCTGGACACCACACTTCAAGAAGGATGCTAACAAATTAGAACTAGTTTAGAGGAGGGATACAAGGATGATCAGTGGGCTGGAAACCAAGCCTTATGAGGAAAGGCTGAAAGAATTGGCCATGTTTAGCCTTGAGAAAAGAAGACTCAGGGGAGATATGATAGCACTTTTCAAATATCTGAAAGGCTATCATACAGAGGAGGGGCAAGATCTGTTCTCAATCATCCTAGAGTGCAGGACACGTAACAATGGGCTCAAGGTAAAGGAAGCCAGATTTCAGTTGAATATCAGGAAAACCTTCCTAACTGTTAGAGCAGTATGACGGTGGAACCAGGTAGCTCAGGAGTTGGTGAGTGCTCCAACACTGGAGGCATGCAAGAAAAACTTACGTAGATAATCACCTGGCAGACATGTTTCGATTGTATTCCTGCACTGAGCAGGGGGTTGGACTTGATGGCCTTGTAGGCACCTTCCAACTTCACTTTTTTATGATTCTATGAAAGAGTGGGGAAGGGATCATTTTTGTTGCAGTTGTCACCATTTTAAAAAGTATAAACAGGTTACATGGCAGAAAAAGGAGAGTCTCTGGAGATTCTTAGCAAAGCAAATCAGAGACTTTTCTAGAGCTTCTCTCTAGTGTAGAAAATGGATAAATGAACAATATTAAGTGTCATAAAAATGTTTGGTCAGCACAAATAGTAAATAAGCTAGTCAAGAAAGTGACCAGCCACCGTAGTGCATATCGTAAAGGTGATCCTTGGACAATGGCAGGGAGTGGGGTAGCTTGCAATTCAGTGACAGCAATTTTCCAGGAACACAAGATTGCAAAGTAAGTGCTGGGAAAATGCATGGACTTCATGCTGTGGTCAAGAAACAAATGCACACTTCGGCCATTAAATGGGGTGGAGTGTATAAAATTTTCATGTGTGTGTATTTAGAAGGAATTTGAATTGCATTGAAGTGGAAGTTCCTGTGGATTATTTCCCTGGGAGTTTTTGTAAGCAAGACATCCTACCACTAGGGAGCAATGTTCACAAGACCTTCTGGCTCAAATGCTGTTTGCAACAGGAATTTGTAGTTGCACTGACTGAGAACCGTAACACTGATGTAGAATATTAGTATGAACTCCCTGAGAGTTGACTGTACACAGCAACCTCATGTCCCTAATAAATCTAAATGAGAGATTGGGTGGGTGGCTTTTGAAATATAGATCCCAGTGTTCCTCAGCCAGCATGATTGGTGGCTGTGAGATTCTTCTTGGTTTTAAAGTTTCAAAAGTTTATTTTCCAAACTTTGACTTGAGCACAGAACTCCTTCTCATTGCCTTGTAGGATCCATTAGAAGGATGGAATTTGGCTGTCTCTATTTATCCATAAATATGTTCACATATGGATAAAGAAATTATTACACATCTTGGTGTTTACTGAAGCCTTAGAGCAGCTATGGGTGTCCCGCAGTGTAGTTGAGCATCCGTGGTTCTGCCAGTGCATTAGCAGTTTGGTCATGTTTGCGTAATTAACTCATTGTATGGTTGTTTGGGGTTTTTCGGGCTCTTTGGCCATGTTCTGAAGGTTGTTCTTCCTAATGTTTCGCCAGTCTCTGTGGCCGGCATCTTCAGAGGACAGGAGTCAGAACTCTGTCTGTGCTCTGGTATACTCATTGTATACTCCTCAACTTCATTTCTAGTCCATTGTGAAGACAATGGTCTAGATGTGATTCTTGGATATGTGTTTCTGTTTTTCTCAACACACTGCAGAAATATTTCAAATTTACTGACTGGCAGAATAGGAACACAGAAGTCCTTGTCTTCTGTTCATCTGTATTAACTCACTTTTCTTTCTTTCTTTTTCCCAGGACAAGTACATCTATCTGTATGAATGCATTTGCAACATCATGACCCAGAAATAAGTTTAGGCTTTGCTCTCCACTCTCTGTGGATGAATGGGATGCAGAACCTAGCAGTACCGTGGCTACAGGCTGAACTGAAGTGCTCCTGCACACAGATGGGCAGCCAGCTCAGGAACCTCCTAATTTTTTTTGCAGAAGATGCTGATGAGAGTCAGCAGTACTGAACTGCCTTTGACATTCCTAGATCTTGATTAGAAGGAACATAAATCTGCTGAAAATAATCTCTGGTGCCTCAGCACTTCTGTGCCAAAGCCATTTACCTTCTTCAGGATGTGAAAACAATACCTGCTTCACGTCCCCCTAATTTTTGTCCAGTTGTCTTTCTGGAACTTGGGCATTCCAAGGCTGTCATACACAAATCACATAGTCAGTAGGCAGCCTAAAATTGGGATCAAGATATCTTCTAAAGCCATTGCATACATTTGTGGCACAGCAGCCTTCAGGATAACTTGCGCAGTTCTTCTTGTTTCGTTTTAAAAACAGATGTAAGAGAATATGCAGAAAATGTGATGGGTAGGGCTCTCGTGTGGCCCAATGCCTTTCTCCTCCCATAAGCTTGAGACTATCTTTGCACTAGGAGAGTTGACTTGTGATCGTATCAGTCCCAATTCTTTATCTGTGGTACATCATTTTAAAATGGGGTAGAGAGAAGAGTTGAAATGAATGCATTCTTCCAATAGGACAATATTACCCCAGTTTTTCTGAAATGGAGATTGGTTTTGAAATATTAAATTATTATTTTTTTAACAAAAATGTTTTTCTTGCACTTTTATGTAATGTTTGTTACACTGCCTTAGGAGCTGTCAGTCATAAAGGGCAAATGAGAGTCGTGTCCCATTACAGGGCATTTTTATAGTCAGGTTACCACTGGCAGAACAGGGCTGCTGCTTCTAAGGAGCAAGTGCTCTAAGAAAGCAACTGAGAACCAGAGGGCTCTAGAACTAATGAATTAGGGAGGGGCCATGTGCACTTCAGTGGCAAAACATACCATAGTCAGCAGGCAGCCTAAAAATGGGCTCAAGATGTCTTCTAGAGCCATTACATACATTTGTGTCACAGCAGCCTTCATGCAAAATTTCCCAAGTTCATTTCCTTTTCTTTCCTTTCTATGACTTGTGGGATTGCTGCCCTCTCTGAAAATCCCCCAAGCTGCACAGTCCATTCCCAGATTCTGCATTCTTTTGAAACAGTATACCAGGGATCAGGAATGTGTGGCCCTCCAGATGTTGCTGGATTCTGATTCCCATTAGCCCCATCCAAACAGACAATTGGTGAGGCACAAAAGGAATGGTCAGTTCATCCTTAGTGTATTGAGTTGCAACTACAGTAGGCCCACTGAATCAGTGGGGCTTTGGTGAGTCAACCTCTCTGTAAATTCCATTAATTCAAGTGGGCTTACACTAACTGTGTATTGCTTTAATTTTAAAGTGCCACTACATTTTTCTTTTAACTTTTTTATTTCCTATTTTACTTTGGGTTTTGCCTGATTTGCCATTAGAGTCAGTACACTTGAATCAACTGAAAATATGGAGGAGGTGACTCACCAAATCCCCATAGATTCAAAGGGCCTACTCTAGTGTGATTCATTCTGCTAAGCAACAGGCTTTGGACCAATCTGAGGTTCTCCAGATGTGTGCCACACACCATGTACAGTACAGCTCTAGTGGTCTTGTAGATGGGACAAAAAAACCTAGGATTGAGAGATGCAACCTCTGTCTCCTGCCACATGTAGGGATGAGATGGGACAGCATATCTCCCAGTTCAGCCCAGTGTAAATCTCTTGTCTCTGTAACTGACATATGTTTTCAGTCTAGACCAGTGATGGTGAACCTATGGCACACATGCCACAGTTGACACACAGAGCCCTCCCTGTTGGCACACAAGCCGTAAGTCGCCATAGAGAAATACTTATCTGTCTTCCAATCCCGGATTTCGGCACTCCCTTCTGCTGATGCAGTGGTCCAGCGGAGGGGTGCAATGGCGACCATTACAAGTCTAGCCCAATGGGGGATTGGAGGAGCAGTAAGTATTTGTTAATACTGCCCATAGAGGGGGGAAAAAACAAGCATTTAACCCTTGCAGTACAGGAGCAGTTTTTTTCAAAACTAAAATTTCAGCATTCGGGTTTTAATTGCAATATTGTCACTTTGAAATAAATAAGTTGATTTTGTGTTGCAGTTTGGGCACTCAGGCTCAAAAGAGTTTCACCATCACTGCACTAGGCACTCAGAGGCAGCCATTGCCCTCAAGCAGCAGATTTTGCAGTACCAGTGTATTTTTGCCATCTATCCATGGCATAGATCCACATGAATTTTAATGTATGCTCATCTCCAAATCATTACTCATCTCCATTTCCTCGGTTGTGGCACTGGTGTGAGAGGTTGAACTGGAGGCTTCTTCGAAGAGGCATATTTTTCTCCCCACTTGTACTCTGCAAGGAGCCGTCCATGGGATGCTCATGGTGTTGATGATGATGAGGCTTGCCAGGTCTCAGAGAATGAGCTGCTGTGATCCACTGAATCTACAG